ATCATTAATAATGTTATAATCTAATAAAGTAGCCCCAAAATAATGTATCCAACTACCTTAATCTATACATGCTTCCCTCAAAGCCTTCAAAAGCTCTACCATTTTTCTCTTTCCAAAAATCCTAAAATAGTCAAAAGAGTTAAATTTGCTACATTTCTTTTAACGCTTAAGCCATCCCAAGCCCAAATTTTCCCACCAACTGAACTGGCAATTACCCAATTAATCCCCAATAAACTAAAAACCATACACCAAAAGCTGTACGCAGTAGGACACCACAACAGTAAGTGGTTGCAGGATTTCTTCACCTGCAGATAAAGGTAGCAGCCATTCACCAACATCTGACCTCTTGCTCTCCGCTTGTCAATAGTTAAAATAGGGATTAATTGGGATGTTGGTCAACATGCTTTAGTGAGTCTCTCCCCTTGAATAAAACATTTCTTTTCCATTTGGTCAACGTTGTTCGAAACAAGCTACCACCAAATCCCAAGTTGAGACTTCCTTGTATTTAGCCCTCAGGAATAGACTCGAATACTTGATTGGCATATTAATACTGAAGTTTTTGGAGAAAATAAATTTCTAATTTTATTTATTATTTTTTGTGTTTACATTTAGAAAATATATATAGAATAGTTATCCTTATTTTACTTAAACTCTAATTATAGGATATAATTATACTATTAGAACTCTAAGTAATATACTATTCTACTTAATATGAAATCCTTATCAACATTCCCTCTCAAGTTGGCGCAAAGATATCACACATGCCCAACTTGCAAATCAAGTTCTGAAAAAATTTGTCACATAATCCTTTAATGAAAATGTTAGCTACCTGGTTGTCAGAAGATAATAATATAAGTATAGAGAACCACCAACCACCTTCTCTTTTATGAACTATCGATCAATCTCAATGTGTTTTATTCTGTCATATTGAACTGGATTATGAGCAATGTTAATTGCTGCTTTATTGTCATAAAACAGGGATAGTTTCTCGTCTTTAAGCAGTTTTAACTTTTTCATTAGCTTTTGTAACCATAGTAATTCACATACTCCTTGAGTCATTACTCTATATTCTGCCTCAGCATTAGAACAGACAACCACACTTTGTTTATTACTTTTCTATGTAACTAAGTTGCCTCCTACAAATGTGTAGTAACCTGTAGTTGATCTTCTATCATTTAAGAACCTACACTAATCGGCATTTATAAATGCTTCTATTTTAAGGTGACTATACTTAGAAAAGAGCAAATTTTTCCTAGTGCAGAATTCAAATATTGTAATATGCAGAAAACAGCATGTAAATGAATCTCACGAGAATCATGCATGTACTGGCTCACAAGACTAACTGTATATGCTATATCAGGTCTGGTATGTGAGAGATAAATGAGTCTTCCAACTAGTCTCTGGTATCTTTTCAAGTCAACTGATGTACCACTACCTGTTTACAATTTGTGATTGCTCTTAATAGGTGATTTTGCCGGCTTGCAATCAATCATACCAATTTCTTCTACCAAGTCTATAATATACTTCATTTGATAAATGAAAATTTCTTTATTGGATCTAACAACTTTAATCTCCAAGAAGTATTGCAATTTTCCTAAATCTTTTATTTCAAACTCTTGAGTAAAAAGTTCTTTCAATTGAATCATCTCCTTTATGTCATCTTCAGTCACCACAATATCATCCACATAAAAAATGAGAAGAATGACCTTACTCTCACAATATTTGATAAATAAGGTATGATCCGCATTACTTTATTGATATCTAAAAAAGTCATAACTTTTGTTAACCGTTCAAATCATGCTCTTGGAGACTACTTCAATTCATATAAGGTTTTTTTTAATTGGCAAACTTTTCCTTGCGTTCTCTCATCTTCAAATCCAGGTGGAATTTTTATGTACACCTCTTCTTCTAAATCTCCATGGAGGAATGCATTTTTTACATCAAACTGCTGTACATCCCAATCAAGATTAGTTACGCAAGACAAAAGTATACTAATTGTATTCATATTTGCAACATGTGCAAATGTCTCCTGATAGTCAATCCCATAAGTCTGAGTAAATCTTTTAACCACCAATCTACCTTTGTACCTTTCGATCGATCCGTCTGCTTTGT